TCCCAGGAAGTGGTGGGAATGCTGGGAACAGACATCACTGGCTCTGATACCGCAAAATGATTAAAATCTACTGGTGCTCAGAAATGGCAGGACCACAGGCAAGCGGCTGTGACGCATACGGCTGAGCCAGTGCGATGTTGGGGTCTAAATGGTTGTTAAAGATCATCTGGCACCTCTTGGAGAGAGCAGGGTGAGGAGCTGCAGGAAAGCTTCTGCGTCTTTTGCAGCTGCCTCTGCACACAGAGCGTGTTCCCAGCAACAGATATGGTCGTGTAAAACGCGATTGGACTCTGGGATGAGTGCAGACTGTGGGGTTGTGAGTCCTGGGTCAAAGGACTCTCTCCTGCAGAGAACTGCCTAGAGCATTGCATGTAGAGGCTTGTTTCTTTTGTAGGTTAAAGCTATGTGGTCAAGCGTCCTGATGTAGGACAGGCTTTGAACAACAGAAGTGATTTTGGATGAAGTCCAAGCTCCTACCCGACCTCCTTCACTCACAGAAAGAGGCCCTTGGATTTCCTCTGGCTTGTAACTAGACCCAGCAGAATGGACTGGAGAATTAGCTCCCATGAGAACATATTTTAAAGACTGCCCCAACTACTTAAGGACTTTTGAAATAGTTATCTATTGAGCTACACCTCTGAATTCAGCTGCGCTTTCATTGTGATTTGTGTATTTGTTTGGTTTTCCCTTTCCTTGGAGCTACAGCGTACAATTATGTCCCGTGCCAGAACTGGCTGCATGCAGTGCTGCTTCAGTGTGTGTGAAGTTTACAGGGCTCCATCCAGCTCGTGAAAGGAAGGGCACGGTGCTGACTGCTGCTTGGGATCAGACGCCAGATTTTCAGAGCAGACTGGAGGACAGGGGCGCTTGCAGCTGTGAAAATGTTTATGAATGACAGGTCTAATGAAACGAGAACTTTCAGTGCTGTGAAAAAAACTTTTACCTGGTTTTGCTTGAAGGACTAAGGACCGGACTCCGCAGGAGCTGTGTTAGTTCAGATCCTGGCTGCCTGCTGGGCCAGGCACACCGGGAGATCCGAGTACTCTGAAACGTCCAGCTGGTCTGTTGCACGCAGCGCAGTTGCTGGTTGCTCGCAGCCTGACTGATCGTGGCTCTCAGCTGGCTCGTGGGCTAAAACATCTAAAACCAAGGGGAATTTTGCCAGAGTATCCAAAGTGTTGGCCTGAACTCATAGACCTTCCAGAAATACACACAATAAATGTTTCTTTTAAATGCTAGTGCGTGGTGCCCAGAGCCTGGAATGCATCACAGGCTGTCAAGCGGGAGACGGAATCCAAATGCAATTTCCAGTGAAAAGCAGCTAGAGCCCCTGTTTGGCCAGGGCTGGCAGAGCGTATCGCTGTGGGCTGCGTCTGTTCCAGTGCGCATCTAACGCCGCCGCCTTCTCTTTCTTCTCTTCCAGTCCGACATGCAGAGCTGGGAGGAGCAAAGCCAAGGAGCCATCTACACAGTGGAGTACGCCTGCAGGTACAAGAGACTCCTCCAAGCAGGAGGGTTGTGTTTGCAGGCGGAGGTGTTGTGGTAGAAACAAAGCAGAAGCCACCTGCGCTTCCCTGACGCCTCCCTGGTGTAAGCCAGGGAGAGAGCAGAGTCGGGCTGGGGGTGTGAGGGTGCGAGGCAGTGCTCTCTGAACTGTTACCATGAATCTCGGGGGCTTCACTTTGAGCGTGGCAGGTCTTCCCCAGTTCCGTGCGCGGTGCAGACCTGCCAATCTCCTGCGGTAAATCCACCCATCGGCTAGCTAGTGTGTGCAGATGCAATGCACCCTGTAAAGTTGAGGTTTCTTATTTACAGTCCTCTCTGTCATGGGCTGTGTGTTCTAAAACCATGATGCCTTTGGAAATACTAACCAGTCCTCCATCTCCCTCCACCCCCCTCTTTTCTTCTTTCAGTGCCATAAAGAACATGACTGACAGCAGCGTGTACTTCAAGAGCATCGACAGCCTGCTCAAACATGCCATAGCCATGAAGGATCAGCTGAACGCTGCTCAGGGCCGCAGGTAGCGAAGGGATGTGACACCGCCTGTTTATCTGAGTGACTGTTCTGGCTTCGGTGACGTAATGCGGCCCAGCACAAATATGCCAAGCAGTTATCTCAGTAATATGGTTCTAGACTATTATTTGAAAGAGCATGCTGCTTGCCTTCCAGTGAGCTTCTGGCTTTGTTTACTGGGAAGCAAATAATCTTGTTTACAAAAGGGTAATTGGAAAATAATTTATTTCCTTATTTAAAAAGGGATGTTTGGTTGTGTAATACATTAAATCTTTGTTGTGTCAAAGGCATTTGGAATGAGATGATGCTACCGAGATGGAGTAGGTGAGAGGCTGCGTTTGGTGCTGTCCTCTGTCATGTATGTGGCTCTTTTTGGGCAGAGTCCCATAGAGATAAGTGGTAGCAGAACGATGATGCATTTTTGTATGTTTGCAGTTGAACTACAGCTACTAAAATATCTTCCAGCAAATCATCTAAGTCTAGTGTGTTTGTCTCTCCTGAGAACAGTGTTGGTATTGGAGTCTGACTGGGTAGGAGTGAGAAAATTCCCAAATGCCCATCCCTGATAAAACCACCACAGCGAACAGAGAGCCTCTGTCTCTGCAGAACGACTCTGCCTTAGACACTTCTGGTTCAGGTTCCTTATTTTCCCAGTTGCCCGCATGGCAGGGTCACACTCTCTGGAGCCCGGAGCATTTTTAGTGGTTTTCGCAGTGGTGTGGCTGCAAAGACTGCTGTCTCGACACCCACAGGGGCTGGTGTGTGCTGTTCCATAGTCTGCACAGCACACTGAAAGGTGTGCTTGTCTAAGCTGCTCTCCTGCTGCAAGCAGTGAGGTTTTATTTGAGGGAGCCCCTGGTTCTTCCCGTCCTTGTGGCTGCTGGTGTCCTGCCTGCCTGCTGGACGTGACTGTCTCTTTCTTTTTACAGCACTGTTGCCCCCCAAGCCAAGAATCCTCCAGCCAGTTCCTGATTTCAGACAAGACTGGCCGTCCTCTGCCGCCTTCTCCAGCCCAGCTCTATGTTCTCCAACCACGGCGAGGAGTGAGAAACCACCTGCTCAATCTGTGAAGCCGCACAGAGGCCTCTGCCTGCCTCTCTGTTCCCAGTAACAAGGTGCTGCACCTGAGCAGGCAAATCCTGCCACTGGGGTCAGGACTGCCTTTGTGGGGTGCTTTGGGGAGCAGTTGTGTCCCTTTCTGCAGTGCTTTGCAAAAGGGAAATGGGGTGGATCTGCATTTGTCCTTTCCAGTTCTTTTTGATGGCAGACTGCTATGAGGCGTTCTTCTCTCTACCTCTTGGCCACAGAAGTATCTCAGAAAAACTAGGTCTTGCTTTCAGTATTTTGTAGATGGCTGTGTAAAGACATAATGTAGGCACACTTCAGCTTTGTTCAGGAGGCATTCTGCAAGGAGAGTTTTTCATGTGTGTGCCAGGGAGTTGCTGAATTTGGTTTTAGTGGGAACAATAATAAAAAGAAAAAATAAGAAAGTTCTGCCTAAAACCTTCCCCTGTTGCTCGCCTCAGGCTGGGGGGTCTTGGAGCCTGCTGGCTCTGCGTGTTTCAAAGGGCATGGAGCAAAATAAAGCCATGCAGAGTTGGAGCCTTTCAAGTGAAAAAAAGAAACTGTCCTGTTCTTCAAAAAAACAACAGAAAAAGGACTTTCTTCATCCCCCGTCAAGCAGTGGGAAGCAGAGCTGTACGCACAGCTTTGGAGGTCACTTTAAAAAGGATGCAACTTCAATGTTAATCTCTCCTGGAACCAACAGTTCTCTTCTGATGAAGAATTTACCAAGGATGCAGGGATCAAAGCAGTGCTAAACTCAGTTTCCAAAGAAATTGTACTGTGCTCAGGATAACAGCTGTCTTTCAGGATAATAGCACGGGAGGTGAGAGGGAATCTGTTGGAATCGGTGGTCTCCTTTCACTCCCTGAAATGCTTTACTGATTGCTGAACGATAAGGAATTGGGGAAGAACCAAGCGTGCTGCTGCTCTGGGCCTGGGCAGGGCTGGCAGAGCGTGGGGCTGCGAGTAACCAGCAACGTGTTTGTCAGCGTAGGGACAGAGCGAGGTAAACCTGCTTGTGTTTCACGGAAACAGCTGCTGCCTTTAGTACTTGCGCTTTCTGCCATGCACACAGCAGAGGGCTGGCAGTGCCAATGCAAACCCCTTCCCGGACCTCAGCCTCCACGATCAGCATTCTTCTGGTGGCACCCAGGTAATCCCCAGAGAGGTCCCTCCACCACTGAGCAAAGCCAGGGCACGGGGGCTGCCCCCGCACAGCCCCTTTCCCTGCTAAGACCCTGCTTAGCACACTGTCCTGCTCAGAGGGCTGTGCTGGTGACCAAGCAGCAGGCTCTCTGCCACCCCGAACCCACCCTCTGCAGATTGCAGGCTGCTCTGGCTCCATCTCACTTGTTGCTCCTCCATCACCTCCCTTGGTTTCTTACGCCTGCCTGGCTGCACGCTGCGGGGAAGGGGTCGGTTGTGTGAACTGTCTTGGTGTAGCGCTGGTTCCTGGGGATGGCGGAGGAAAGAAGGAGGCAGGGGAAGGGCAGGGAGGTACAGCCAGCCAGAGAAATCAGCTGGGATCTGCTGGAGAAGGAGGGTAGGTCTGTCCGTGGACAAGGTCCGCTCGCTTCTTCTCACTCAGGTGTTTCACTTTCTTCGCTGCAGTCGGGACAGAGCTGGCGTCCCTCCCAGCCCCTGCCCTGCCAACGCCGTCCTTGTTCGTGGGGTGGCAAGTGCCAGCAGCATCGCAGGTGGCAGGAGGGGCTGGGGGCTCCGGGCAAGCGTCTGAGAGCTTTTGGCTTTGAGTGGAGGCGGCGTGGCTGCACAGACCCCTGGGCGGGAGGGTGGAAAAGCAGCCAACCCCCTGCTCTGATGAGATGTGACCTATATTAAGCTCTAAACAGAGATGCAAATCTTGGCCCTGGTGCTTGCAGCTCCCCTGGGACGAGATGGGATGAAAAGGTCCCACTTCCACTCACACCAGAGTCGAGTCCTTGCCCGAGGCTCCAGGTTTGCGCGACAGCACATTCCTCATCTCCCGGGTGACGCCGTTCCAGGGCTTGCCCTGTGCCTGCAGCAGGCCCGACTCTGCCGACAGCGTCCTGTGCGTTCGGGGCGGGTTGTAGCTCTCCTTCTCGGAGCGAAGCCCGGGGCTGCCCGAGGAGGTGAGGTTGCTGCTGGCCGGAGAGCCCAGCTGGGATTTGCGCTCCAAGAAAGGAGGGAAGGAAAATTCCCGGTGGATCTCGGGCCGGGGCCGGGGTGCAGCCACGTTTTTGTTGTTCAGATCGCTGGTGGAGGATTCGCCGTGCTGGGCAGAGTCGTTCTCGTACAGGGTGTGAGAGACCTCGGAGCGGCCGCGGCGCGAAACCTGGGAAGCCCGTACCAGGGCGTGCGTCACTGTGATCAGCAGGACGATGATGCCGGAGGAGAGAATACAGGCGCTGGCAATGCCGGCCTCCAGTTCAAACAGCAGCAGCATGTAGATGGCGAGAGCTGGAAGGAAAGGAGAGTGCAGAACGCCTTGAGGAACCAGAAGGACTAAAGCGATGCAGCTGACTTGCAAACTTCAGGCTCTATAAGGGCTGGTCACCAAGAACAGAAAGTTCACGCTATGGGAATGAGCTGGCAAAGCCGTTTGCAAAACAAACCCGATGCTGAAGTAGAAACTCGGTAGCTCACAAGCACTCAGCAACCAGTGCAGGATGTATGATCTGGGCTGACAATGCACGGTCCCTGCTGGGCTGCACTGGTGGGAAATGAGCACTTGCCTGTTAGGTAGACTGAGACCCCACAGCAGAACAAGCCGATGGCAGCGTGGCGAACCGTCCGGCTGTCCAGAAGGAACCAGTCTGCCCTGCAAAACAGGTGAGAAAAATACAGGTCTGTATAGTCTCCTGGCCCTGGTCTCGGCACAGGAAAAACACTGATGCTCTGGCCCCTGCTGAGAAACTGAAATACTGGTTCCGCATAGAGAAGAGGTTCAGAGCCGAGTCACGAGCCCAAGGACCTCTGCTGAACTGGGGGTTCCCCCAGGCTGGTGGGTTGCGCGGCTCTGGGCTGCCTTGTTCCCACTCTGGAACAGAAGATTTTGAGATCACTTGAAATTTCAAACTTTTCCTGCCTGGTTCCAGCTGGGGTGGGGCAGGGGCTCAGGAGAGAGAGACAAATGGCTGGAGGCTTTTTGCAGGTGATTTGCCCCTGCTCAGCAAATCCTGAAGAGCAAGCAAGGAACAAAACTGAGGCCTGTCAAGCCCATCTCCCTCTTAAAGAAAGAATGACAAGTAAAGTGCTGGCACATTGAATTAAGCAAGGCCAGGTTTGCTCCTCACCCTTGGGATTGGATTTCTGTGCTCAGCTCAGATTGCAAACCTTTTGTCTGGAGGGGGCTTGGTACTTGAATTGTGCTTAAAACACATGAAAAGACCAGCTCCTTTCCAGCAGGGCCTTTGTTTCCCACCCAGCACTGACCCCTGCGCCTGCTGCCTGCGCTTTCCACCGGCACGCTCTCGGTCGAGCCAGCCCGCAGCTCTGCTTGGGCATCTTCGGAGCCAGATTGACCTGGCAAACCTCGGTCCTCGCTGGGCTTTGGAGGTTGCTGTCAGCAGAGGATGCCTCTGCTAATTGGGAGAGCGGGATGTGGTCGTTAGAGGAGGCAGCGTAGTGTGGCAGATGGATGCGAGGCGACTCGGGGGGTTGGAAACGTGAGTGCTCAGAGAGATGCTGGCAGGACTGGATGCTGGGAAGCCTCAAACACTGGGTGTGCACAGGGCATCGCTGGTCCCACTGGCCGCTTTCAAAAGTCCCCAGGAGCTGGTTGGAAACATGCCCTGGCTTCGAAGGATGAGCTGAAGGGGCAACAGCACAACCATCCTCCCGGCAGGACCAGCCCTCGCGTTGCTCCTCTGCAACGGGGTGAATTCAGCAGCCAAGGATGCTGTGCCCTGGCCCAGTCTCCCCCCAGCACGGCCTGGTCCCCTCCCCTCCTCCTGGGCTTGTTGTAGCCCCTCGGCCGTTGCCACCCGTGTGGGGAGCCTGCAGCCGGGAGCCGTTAATAGACCCTGGACCCGCTCCCGCTCCTCGCTGCTGGCGGGGAAGAGCAGCCGCTTTGTTTTATTAATTACCTGAGTCGGGGGGGATTAGCGGGGAGGAGAAGGACTTTGTTTGGAGCTGGCTTAGACTATTGAGCGCAGCGCTGAGAAGCGGAGCGGTAATTCAGTGTGACAGGCCCAACGTGGGAAAGGTCCCTGGGACGTGAGCGGGTCCCCTAATGAAACCGGCGCCCAGTGGGGCCAGGCCAGCTCGGCCACGAGGAGACGGCAGCTAACGGCGTCCCACATCGCGGGGGAGAGGGGCTGCATCCTGCCGGCACCTCCTGCCTGGGGCCAGCCTGCAGACCAGCATCCCTGTGTCCCGAGAACATGCCCTTTTCCTCCCAAAGATGAGTGTAATCTTCAAGTCGCAGCTGGGGAAACTGAGGCACGGCCAGACTAAGTGATCTGCTTCAGATCCCAGGCAGAGGGACACCAACCCAGGGCTCCCAACCTTACCAACGCTTCGCATCACCTGCAGCAAAGCCAAAAGCAGCCTCTCGCTTCACCAGGGCTCTGGAGCAGAGCACAGAAATATTATTTAAAATCAAATTGTTTAGGAACAGCTTCCCTGCTCGGTGAGACGCGCCAGCAGGGTCCACAGCCGTGCAGCGATGGTTGCTCTGTCCTGTAAGCCCTTGAAAAAGTTGCTGCTGTTGGAGTACGGGCTGTCCCACGGCCGGCACGCTCCATCTCTCTACCTGTGACTTTGCATCTGGCTGCCTGATTAGTGCTGCTCCTGTTCCACACTTGGGATTTTCGAAGTTGAACCTCACAACTTCGAAATTGAGCATTTTACAGCCCAGATCAATACCAGATCTTAGACAAATTTACAGCTGATGGGGAATTTTCTGCTGTCACAGTTTTCCAGCAGAAACTCAGCTCCCACAGAAAGCAAAGTTTGCTATGGGAACTCTGTGTTTTGCAGAAATGTTTTGCTCTCCGTCGTTAACAAGTGCACTAAGCGTCAGCTTCGCTTGGAAGATGCTGAGAGGAGATGCTGCCGCTTGCTGGAGTGCCTCCAGCCGTCGTGCTCCATACAGAGCATGAGGCATTGATGGGTTTGTTTAATTAGGGACAAAACTAACTGTTGAAACATTATCATTTGCTTTAAATGAGTTTTGACTTGCTTAAGTCGGAGTGGTCCCAAAATGGTCCCGTGGGGACCATCGCATGAGCTACATGGAGGGACCTCCACGTCCAGACTGGTTTCTACCAAGATGCTTTTAAATCTGATTATTCGCACGTTGCTTTTTTCTTTTAACCCAGTAGCGGAGCTGGGGCTGGCCGGGCCAGCGCAGGCGGAGGAGCCACCAACCCAGCCCAGGTCTTGGCGGAGGAAGAAGAGGGGAATTGCTCTGGAAACGATTTTGCAAGTGTAAATGTGCTGGTAATGATTAAGTCAACACATGTCTATGGTTAATGATCCCAGGCCTGTGGTCATTTTGGTGCTGTGCGAGTGGCCTGTGCAATCACTCCGGCAGTGCCCCGAAGAGCCCAGCTCTCCCGCTGCAAAGAGACAACTCTCGGGTGCTCCTGGCCAGCACGTCTTCCCCGCCTTGGCCCTAGAGCTGAACTGGGCAGGCTGGTGTGACCCCGCAGGCTCCTACAAGCCCGGAGTCCTAACACAGGGACTTGTGGGCGTACACAGGGATGTTACAGAAAAATTAAATAGCGTCTATTAGTGCAGCCAGGGGGACGGGCTGCTCTAGACTTGCTCCTAGTCAATACAGTCGCTAAGCACAGCTACACCCCAAATTAAGGGCACGTTTACAGTGGGATTCACTGGCCAGAGATAACCCTGCATCGCAGGCAGGCACTGCAGAGATGAATTTTGTGATATCCCAGTGCTCAGCGAGTGCCCAGCAGCATCGTTCACTCCCCACAACCCCTGTTTGCAGGGGTGGTGACTAGGGGGGCACTGGCAAGGGCCAGA